TCATATTTAGCATTCTCCGGATGGCATATGGAGCATAGCGTTTGGGTACTTACTCAAAAATACAACTCTGTTCTGAAAGATCTCGGAGAGCAGACCAAATCGGTAGCCCTGTTTCATTGCAAAGACCGAGATTCATTTGAGGAATGTCAACGCGAAAATGATGTTATTTCTACCAAGCTCAAGCGAGATCAAGTCAGAAAACTGTTAGCGGAAACGAAGCACTGTAAACTCGTATTAAAAACCTATCAACCAGCTGCTTATGGAAATGCTTAGCAAAAGTTATAGCAAATTCTAAGCAAAAATATAGCAAAAATAGGAAAATTATAGCAAATTTATGGCAAAAATGTTAAAAAAGTGAACATGTAATAATTGATTATGTAATAATGTTGTTTGAAATACTCATTCTTTAGCAACAGTTTATTATTTTGGGCTGTATTGGATATGCAATATTTCATTATGTTAGACTTAAATATATCCTTAGGTATGACATTATGGAATGCGATGAACTTATCGAACAACTGCTCCAAGATGAGCCTGTAGTTACAGATCAACATAGAGATCAACATAAAGAAAGACTCGCGGCTTTGGTAGCCGGTGGAAAATTTTCCCAATATTTTGGGGAAAATTATACCACTGAAAAAATTGATAACATGACCGACGAAGAAATTAAAAAACTGTATGCGCTTTATGAGTCTAGACTGGGAGCTACCATGACTAAAACAATAGGTTCGGCTATGTTACAACTATACACAGTTGTAGCTAGTACGTTTCTACCTATCCAGGCAGGAAATTGCATGTTATCTATGCGAATCTCTAGAGAAAGACCCATTCATCGAACACGCTATAAGCACAGTAAGCTGTGAGTTTTATCATAGATACGGAATGTTCTTAGCGCCACTTACCACCCCTTTAATAACGGCTAGGTATTGTCAATTTAAACATACGTGACCACTCACTAAAAATGGAGACGGAAATACAACTAGTGAACGAGGAAACTCTGATTGCAGAACAAGTGAACGAGGAAACACCACAAACACCGATTGCACAATCACCACAAGCGATTGCACCACAAGTCAAGAGTCAGAGTGACTAAGAATCCTCGAAAAGTCGCAGCCGGTAGGAAGGGTGCGCTAGCGAGGAAGGCAAAACTAATACACAATACTGAACATAGCCCGATTAAAACTTGGGCTCCCTTTGTCCTAGGGGTTGTTGCTATAGCAGTGGTATGGTTGTTTTATAAGACCGGAGAAGAGAAAACACCACAGGTTAAAAATTAGATTAGGTTCAATTAGAGTTAAGCCCTCATGTAATGTTGTAAAGCAATGACTACTGCAGTTACAGACGGTAAAATGTTGGTAAACGCAACGTATCATTCAGCGGTGGCCATTGGCTATGCCCGTATAGCTAAAGTGATTACTAAAGCCACACCACCCAAGCTGGATTTTAATGGTTATGATATCAGTATGATGATTCTTCATATAGGATTGGCAACAAAAGATATGCTCATCAAACAAGGGCTTATCCCAGAAGACATAATGAAGTAATTAAACATTTGAATATTTTATATTATTAAACATGGCATCAATTGAGATGATGGTCGGTGGAGCTATTGTTAAAGCTCTAGCTTTTTCGGGGAGTAATTTTTTATTTTCTACTATGAAAGGAGAGGAGCAGAAAAGACATAATAAAGCATCAGAACAACTCGAAACAGCCCAGTCACAATGGGCAAGGTGCAGAATGGAGAGATTAGATTTTATCAATGATGAACTTTGTAAACAAGGACATTCAATTCAAACATTTAAGGATGTTGAATCTGCCATGCACGAATACTTCCTTGTTTACGGAAAGACACTTTACCCAATACCAAGGCGAACACTATCTCAGTTTTATACACCGTCAGAGGCTCAGAAACACCGCGACATAGCGTTTATAGTTTTTGGATTGACTGGTGTGTCCATATTTAGCTACATTATTAGCACAAGCTATGACCTGGCAACACACTATATGAGGCTGAGTCTTATCAGCTATGACACCATGACCGGTGTGTCTATTTTTAGCTACACAATTACGCAGAAGCTATGATCTATTACGTATGAAAATAGCGATGAATCACCAACCAAGTGGAGGTGTGATTTGCATTAAGACAAATGATATGATAGGTGTATAACCATGAATCTGTGTAGATTTACACTCATGGGTAAGCAAATTCAATGCAACCGGCGTTGCGTTGGTATATACTGTGGTATACAGCCTATTACATCAGACAGGGAAATATAAATTATAAGTGTTCTGTATGTAGGAAAGGGGTCAAAGGTCATTATTGTTTATGTTAGTATTGTTTATTGTTTATTGTTTATTCAAGCGAAAAAAAAGTGGGCTGAAAGGTTATCCTCGAATGAGAAAAGCTTAATTGATTGATTTACTCGGTTTGGAATAAACAAACCCCAGATTTGTAACCACAGCCGGCATTGGTAAATAGCGAAGAGGTTGGAAGATGGATATTAATTCCAACATGGATGTTAATGATGTTAAGCCCATAGTATCGAGCAAAATTAACGAGGAGTTAGATGATTTAAATAGTATAAAATACCAGCTGACGGTTTAAATGTCATTGAATAAAAATGACGCAGAATATACCGAACCTTATTTCCGGAGCAACCAAGAAGTTATAACCGAATCTGAGTCCATATGCTTCAATTCAGCGGATACAAGAAACTTTAGAAGGCTGGAATAATAGAGTTTCGGGTTGGGGTGTTGTTAGAATCGATAGTTTATATACTGAGTCAAATTAAAAACTTCACATTTTTAAAAGTAATCCCATATATGATATACAACGGATAAATGTATCAGAGAAGGTAATTTTTAATCATTAATGTCCAAAGAAGGATTTTAATTAACGGTGGTAACCATAATTTGTTCCAAGCACCTACGGCATTCGGTAATAACATCAACAGTTTGAATCATTAGTCTCAAGCACGAGAATCTGATGGCACACAAGTTCAGTAGCGTGTATGGCCACCATGTGCGTTGACAACTGCCACACAACGCCTCCACATGGACCTTGTGAACACATGATTCGGAAGACGACGCCATTGTTGCTGCAAAATGGTGCCAAGATCTTGCAAATTCTGTGGTTGGTTCTGGAGAGTGCGCAGACTTCTGCCAAGAGCATCCCAGACGTGTTCGATGGGATTGAGGTCGGGAGACCTTGACAGCCAGTCAATGACGTTGACTCCCGCATTCTGAAGGAAATTCCTTGTCAAAATTGCTGTGTGGGGTCTGGCATTGTCGTGTTGGAAGATCAAACCGGGTCCATGTGCTGCCATAAAAGGCAGAAGTTCTGGTGCCAGTACCTGGTCGCGGTAAGCAGCAGCGTTGAGGTTGCCACGGATGACAAGAAGCCTGGAACATGCATTGCCACAGAAAGCACCCCACACCATGACACTTCCGCCTCGAAATCTGTCAACTTCCTGTCAACACTGGGCGTAACGTTCATGACGGCGCCCCCACACCCTCACCCTACCATCAGCAAATTGAAGATTAAATCGGGATTCATCACTGAAGACAACTTGATTCCAATTCCTCTGAGTCCATCGTAAGTGTCGCTGTGCCCACAATTGAGGTTGATGTCCGTGTAATTGAGTCAGAATCGGCCCGCAGTATGGCCGTCGTGCTTGAAGGTGAGCAGTTCTCAGACAGTTTTGAACAGTTTGCGCACTCAGTCTACCCCTAAACAGTTCATTTCTGGTTGATGTAGCCATCAAAAATCGGTTACGGCGGTGACGTAAGACAATCTGACGATCCTCTGCATGTGATGTCACACGTGGTCGACCTGGCCGAGGGCAATCAGCGGTGGTACCTGTTTGCTGTAGACGCCTCTGAGTAGTATAGAACGGGTCCGCAGGAACCTTTTTTGGTTGAGGGAGGTTGAGTGAAAATAGGGAAGGTGATTGGTTGATCCAAGTCACGTGATCGGATAGGATGACTCATGCATCAACAGCACGTCACAGGTGAGGGGGAATGAAAGGTGTGTGTTTATAAGACAGAAAAGAATTCATAAGAAAACAAAAGTAAAAGGTTATGAATAGGGCTAAATGTATAGCGTGCTGCCTTGAATAGACAGACCGTACCCGTCAGCCCAGTTTGAATTGAGCGCGCTTGACAACTGACGTGGCCTCGTCGTTTAACCCGCGCTCGCGAGAGCGTGCGATCTGGTTTGATGAATGCAGGGTGTGTCTTGAAAGTACGACCATACCCCAATAGAGACGGGTTATGTCAACACGATATACACCGTGTAATGTAGGGAAAAAAATGTACGGATCAAATTCATCTTGTACGGTCTACACGTTGTACACCATGAACGTTAGACAACCTGTATGGAAAAAAATACATAGAGATAAAATAGATAAGACTACACAATCAGCAAGCTAGCAGTGTCGTTTAATTACATTTAGCGCGCAAGAACGAGGTAGTCACGTCACCCTGCATTGACTATAACGCTGAAGGCAGCCGGATTTCGAATCACCCCGCGCTGCGTACTATTGTGAACCATTTGTATAGAGGGCGTTCACTTATTCAACCCTGTCCCGACTTGCATAGTTGATGTTTCAACGCTAGCGTTTCCATTTAACGCGATGATAAATAAACCGTGCGGTTTGAGTTTTAACCCTGTAACATGATGTGCACAGTTTTTACTTCAGAACGTGCTATTTTGACAATAGATAGTTAGAACCATGTCTATGTTCAATAGAAAACTGATGAGTACACGTAGCAGTGTCACGGCACGAAGCTAGGTTTGTTGGGAAAGTGATGGAAGCAATCTATAAGACATTTCATGTTTACAATACTCACCCTTAATCGGATAGGATGACTTTACTATGTCTATACTAGCCTAGACTATACTACTAAAATTGAGGTCAGGCACCGAGATAGCCAACGCGCAGGTGTGTACATAATAATAATATCTGAATTGCTCAATGTTCAACATCGTTTCCGTGTGACCGTTCAGACAGATACACAGGTGCATCTATATGGGTATATGGGTGGTCCGTATCCCAAGCTGTCAGTCATGCTGACAGTGAGCTATACAGGTGCGTTGAATGGCCAGTTACTATATGGCAATCATTCATCATAGAAACATCCTATATAAACACCACCCCGAATATCAGAGCGTCATTTCAGTTTCAACAGTCAGCAAGGAAAACATGGATTCATCAAACGCGTAAGTGTATTTCTTAATGACTTATTTCGTTTATATTAAATGAGAATACTACACAGCTTACACATGTTTCAGGCTGAGTGAAAAGGTATGTGTTAGTAAAAGTGATTATGAGTAACACTCATTACCAACTTTATGAAGAAAACAATGTTGTATCTCTAGCGAGAATTAAAAGGAATGTTTTGTCTTTCAGACCATTCACCTGTCCACAGTGCGGGAAAGGTTTTAATAGAAAAGATAACCTTTCCCGTCATATGCGATCTGTTCACCAGGGTGAACGTTACGCGTGCGAGAAATGCTCTAAAAGTTTTTCTTCCAAACAAAAACTAAACCAGCACAAGTGCGCTGCCTGCTCGCAACAACGCCTATCGGAATACCGTTGTAGCGTAAGTTTATTTTCGTGAATGTAATCATCATTAGATTTAAGGGAATATGTGTGGGACTTTTATTTATCTTCCTATGCTTTTTAAAAGGTAATTTTCATTTAAACACATGTGGTTCATTCTATGTTGAAAACAAGGACATCATGCTATGTTAGTACGAGTATCGTTACTAAACTCGTACAGTCCCTTTAAGAACACTGCTTTATTTCTACATACAGAAATGCCCCGAGGTGTTCCCCTCTCCCCGTGACTTGGCCGTGCATTTTCGACGGTGTCATTCTAGCGGTAAGTTGAATGTTCATAATGCCATCTGAAGTAAAAGTGTGAAAGACATGGGTTATTAACTGTATTGAAAATATCACATTCGTGACTTCGAGCTTATCATTTCACTCGAATAAAATATGCTCAGATGCTATAGATTGAACATATCTTTTCTCCACAGGCGCAACACAGACGTCGCGTGATGACGCACGGCCGTCTACCTCCAGTGCAGTACCGATTAGTGGGGGTGAGTTCTATTTTGTATCTATCTATCTAATATCTATCACTTCATTCATCCATGTACGAGTGTTAGTATTAACGAGGTTCATACCACATAGGGTTTCCATATATGTGTGTCGTGTGTTTGTATATAGATAGCATTGACTGGGATGTTTTCAGTTAACTGTTTTGTATTTCAGGGACAACCTCTACAAACCAGCCTACACCGTCCACCTCCTCGGGGCAGGTTGCAAGGGCGGGAAACTGTCGTGCTAGTGGAGGTAGATATTGAATAGTATTTTATAAGCTATGGATTTTAGGTAGCCCTGAATTATATGTATTAGTTCAATCCGTCATGGTGTTCATATGTATTCGCTTTGGAAGTATTATATAGCACGTGTAAGTCATGATATTTATTTGAAGCATAAGAGCTCGTAGTGATTGAGTGAGTGAACGATGCTGTTATAGGCGAGCACAGTATTCATACATTGAATTTTATTCTATCACCAGCTCCCTCGTGTTCCCGCATCGCAGCATCGGATGGTTGTACTACCTGCCGGACGTGTCATAGGCGTTTCGAGGATCGGTTGTCTCTCTACCGTCATCAGATGATAGAGGGACACCGTGTCCTACCATCGCAGTCCGGCGGGAGTATGGATACCGATGCTGTTGGTAGTGAGCTCCAACCACGCCCATGGGGAGAAGGTCCCGCCCCGTGGGTAGAGGAGAGCACTGGCAAGGTGACGGAGCCCGGACTCCAGGAAGCCTATGACCTGGACGCTCCCTACATCCTCGCGCGGGACCAACCCGGGGAGGTGTTTTCGACATTCAACCTCCCCGTCAGCAACAACTTTTCGATAGGTGAGTTGATGGAACGCGCTAGGGGTATCTATCAATCATTAAGTTATAGTTTTAGGTTCAATCTAGCGTTCGGTGTCATCCTGCGTCACGTGGAGACGGGACGCTATCGCTATTTCCATCCTTACGCTGTCGATCCGCTCTTTACTAGTCCTCTCTATATCACCGAGCTGAGGGATCTCGAACGGTTGCGTCAGAGACTGGAAAGCTTAGATGTGATGTCTTATCTATTGAAACAACGCCCCGATACCAAATGGAAACCCGTTTTGATCACGAATGTACAGTTTTACGCGTACAGAATGAATTTTCCTTTAGGCCATCCCCCTGTTGCTCTCCCCGATTATCTGAAACACCATAAAGCTATTATCTGTTTACATTATAATGCTAATTCTGGTCGACGATACGAGGACCATTTATGTGCTTTCCGGTGTCTGGCTCTGTATCGAGATCCATCCGCTCGACCATCACTAGAAAAGCCTACCAAAGCTCTTTACTATCAGTGGGTCGCCTACACTCGGGACCATCATCTCCAATCTTTGTATCAAGTTCGTCCCGAAGAGTACGCGGGTCTCCCCCCCTTCTCTCCTGTGTCACTTTGAAGCCTGTTTCCGTGTGAATGTGAGCGTGTTCACTCTAGACGTGACGGGGATAGCTCAACCCGTGTATAAATCTAGAGGGTTGTATCAGGAACACATGTACTTAAATCAATTCGAAAATCACCTATCCCTCATTACCAATATGAACATCTATTGTAAACGCTACCAGTGTCCCACGTGCGAACGCCTCTTCCGGCGCAAAATCAAATGCAACGAACACCAACGTCGTTGCACGGCTCAAACGACTTTGCGGTTCCCGGGTGGTTTCCACCACACCCCAAAGACCGTGTTTGACGAGCTGGAAGAGTTCGATTTCGTCGTCGAGCCTAGAGACAGATATTTCCCGTGGTTCGTGGTGTTCGATTTTGAGTGTTTTTTGAAACCGATGAATACCGGAACCCAGAAACTGAGATGGACGCAAGAACACCACCCCATCTCGGTCAGCGTGTGTTCCAATGTGGAAGGGTTTACTTCGCCGCACTGCATCGTCGATTCCGATCCGGATCGACTGATTGCTGCCATGTTGTCATACATGACGGAAATAGGAGAAGCCGTAAACGAGCTATCCAAAGAAAAATATAAAGGGGTGTTAGAACGCTTGCGCGAGTGGATGCAATTGTTGTCTGACGAGGACCAGGCGACTGTTGACGACGACGACGACGATGATGATGATGATGATGATGATGTCAACGTCAGGAAGGGTGACAACCACCCCGCCAAAGGCAAGTCTACTCGCGCACACTCTACCCCCCTGGCTAAGTGGAGAAAGCACGTGAGCGATCTCTGCGGGAAGCTTCTGGGGTACTGTTCTCAAGTCCCCGTCCTCGGTTTTAATTCAGCTCGTTACGATCTGAATATCATTAAGGAAAAACTACCCAAACATCTCTCTCTCGACGACGTCGAATCTCAGGCTTTCACCGTCAAGAAAAACAATGCTTACTTGTGTCAAAGTAATCAAAGTTTCAAATTTCTTGACGTCACGCAATATCTCTCTCCCGGAACGAGTTATGCTCAGTTTCTGAAAGCATTCGGAGTGCAAGAGAAAAAGGGATTTTTCCCGTACGAGTATCTCGACACTCCGGATAAGTTAAACGAAACTCGGCTTCCCCCTCTGGGTGAGGCATGGTATTCCAGTCTCAAACAGAAGTCCGTCCTCGACGACGGTGTGAAATCCATCGAGGAAAATTATGCCGAGCTCGAGGAAGTTTGGAGACGGGAAGGCATGTCCACGTTTCGAGATTTCCTCGAGTGGTATAACAATCTGGACGTGGGTCCCTTTGTGGAAGCCGTACAAGCCATGCAGCGGTTTTATTTCCAGGATGGCATCGACCTCTTTAAAACCACTATGTCGGTACCCGGTGTGGCCCGTCAGAAACTATTCCGGGAGAGTCGAAAGTTAGGGGTCTCCTTTGCTCTGTTCGATAAACGCAACGAAGACCTCTATCACACCGTGAAGGGTAACGTGGTCGGCGGTCCTTCTATCATATTCACGAGGTACCACAAAGCCGATCAAACGTTGATTAGAGGCCATCCCGAAAAACGGTGTAAAAGGGTGGTTGGGTATGACGCGAACGCGTTATACTTGTGGGCTATAGATCAGCCCATGCCCACCGGTCCTTTCGTGCGTAGGAGAGCCGAGAATCGATTCAAGCCGGAACGCAGGGACAGGTACGCGTGCATGTACGATTGGATGGATTGGTTGAGGGAGCAGGAAGGGCGGGACATTCGGCACAAGTTAAACTGGGGGCGGGAAAAACGAGTCGGGCCGTACTTGGTGGATGGGTTCATTCCCGGCTCCATGACCGTATTCGAGTTTCATGGATGCTATTTCCACGGCCACCATTGTCACCTCACGACGAAAGCGCGCGCTCAGGAAAAATCAAGAGAACGATTAGAACAAAAACTAAAGGCAACCAGAGCGCGCGCTGCTTACATCCGTGATCTGGGTTACACGGTCGTGGAAATGTGGGAATGTAACTTTCGCGCCGAGTGCAAAACTAATTCCCAGCTCTCGTCCTTTATTCGAGATCGTCAACCACCTTTCACTCAAAAGAAGGCGTGGAAGAAGGTCTCGGAGCGGGACATGTTGAACGCTGTGGAAAAGGGGGAACTTTTCGGCATGGTGGAAGTGGACATTCGCGTCCCCGACCACTGGATGCCTGGACAGAACCCTCACGGCACTCGTCTCTCCCCGAAGGAGTACTTTCAAGAGATGACTCCCTTGTTTTGCAATGCAGAAGTTCCGTTCGAGATTATCGGGGAACACATGCAGGGGTACATCAGGGAAAACGACTTGAGTACAAAACCGCGCCGTATGCTCGTTGGCGGGTTAAAGGCGCGGAAAATCTTGATCGCCACCCCTCTGTTGCAATGGTATTTACAGCACGGCATGGTGGTCGATCGCGTGTACCAAGTCGTCGAGTACACCCCGAACGCGTGTTTTCAGCAGTTCGTTCGGGACGTGTGCTCGGCCAGACGAGAAGCCGACCGAGATCCCTCAGCAGCCATTCGCGGGGATACGGCTAAACTTACGGGCAACTCCGCGTACGGTTCGGTTTTGATCAATAAAGAAAAACATCAGACCGTCTCGTACGTGTGTGGTCAAACGGCGGCTAGCACACAAGTCAATTTCCCTCAATTCAGGAAATTGACGGAACTGGGCGGGGGTTATTTCGAGGTGGAGAAAGCCAAGAAAGTCATACGCCTCGATACTCCCGTGCAGCTGGGGTATTTCATCCTGCAGTACGCCAAACTGCGCATGCTTCAATTTTACTACGATTTCATGGACGTGTACGTGGATCGTAGCGATTTTGAATACATGGAGATGGACACGGACAGCGCTTACATGGCCTTGAGCGCGAAATGTCTGTCCGACGTCATTAAACCCACCAAACAGTCGGCGTACCAGGACCAGTTGAAGGGGCTCTGTGGTGACCATAACCCGGACGACAGCCACGTCACGCGTTGGTTTCCACGCAGTTGCTGTTCCGTCCACGCCCTTCACGACAAACGTACTCCGGGTTTATTCAAACTCGAGTACGAAGGAGACGAGATGATCGGACTATGTAGTAAAACGTACTTAGTCTCACAGTCCAGTCTCCAGCGAACGCCAAAGCCAACGCCGAGTTCGAGCGTACGTACAGCACAACGTTTACTACGCCGTGCTCGCCGCCGGCTCGGTCGCAACAAGCCCGTCAATAACAAGGCCCGACGCCTCCGTTCAAGCACCCCTGTCGTCGGTCATTTCGAACGCCGGGTAAAATTCTCCTGTAAAGGCATCTCGAAACGCACACTGAAAACACCACTAAGAGCGTTTAGAGATGTTTTACGTACGCAAGTACCCGGCGAGGGGTTGAACAGAGGTTTCCGACTCAAGGGGAATACCATGTGTTCCTATCAACAGACACGTCAGGGGTTGAGCTATCTGTATTGTAAACGTCGAGTGCTAGCCGATGGCATTCACACAGCCCCTCTAGACCTAGAGCTTTGTCCTTGGCCTTCCCGTGATGACAGGTTGGATGACACCGACACCTTTTTGGCCGAACTTTTAGAAAATTTAGCAGAAAATTAAACAAACAAAATAAGTCCCAAGCGCGTTCCCTCAACTCCAGTAGTGTACATATTATAGTTATTTATTTATTTATTATTATTAGAAGCATATTGTGATAAACATATTGTGATAAACATAAGTATTTCTATCAAAAGTATTCTCTTTACTACTTGTGATATTTTGGTTTCTCAAATGTATTTACATGAATAAATCTATGTTATTTTTGAAAGAGTGTTGGTTGTCTTGTCTTGTCTTATGCCATGTAGGTCTACTTTCTAGAAGTCGTGTATGTCTTATGCCATGTAGGTCTGCTTTCTAGAAGTCGTGTATGAAATAATACATCCATTCGCATACGAGTCCCGTACCCACTCGGAATAGAATGTACTGCCTTCTATAAGTTCACTACATAGTGCAAACTTATCAGAAAATAAGACTGGTTTCCCTTGTTGTTAAGTGAGAAAATAAGACTGGTTTCCTTTGCGGTTGACGACACGCGTGAGAAAAGAAAACTGGTTTCCTTTGCTGTAAGCAAAAGAGGCAAAGTTAGTTTCATGGGAGCCATTCTACACCCTAGTCTCGGAGGGCGATGCTTTGCGCTATTATGTGTATTGTTAGCGAATGGGGGTGTGGGTAGGGTGCTTATTGTAGGCGCAAAGGGGACAGGCCCTTTAAGAGCGACTTCAGCGTATTGCGATTCTATATACCGCATAACATTCACACAAACAACACGAGACTTCCATTCTATCGATTCAGTGTTTATTACTAATAGTTCGTTAATGGTGATACATAAGACAGTATAGTCATTTTAATACACAGTTTCCAGTGGCAACATGAGACAAACTTTCTATCAATTCACGTTTAAAACTAACAACAAGAGAGATTCCATACTATTTTACAGTTTCTAATGGTTTGAATTTCTTCTTCGCACCGGGAACACCGTCCCTCACTTTGCCACGCACGAACATGGGTTGAGTTCGTTTTCTCTTGCCTTTTCCCACCTGAGAGAAAAAGGGTTGTGAGTTGGGTAGATGTTTCAGTTGACGGGTAAATGCTTGAAATCCAACATCTTTTATATCGTTACTGTGTAACACAAACTGTCGAATACTGTCAATCACATTAGAATGCTTTATAGGGTGTCCGTGTTTATCCAACCATTCGAGGTTAGCATTCCAGTTAATGCGGCCGAGCTCTTTTTGTTGGTTGAGATATTGCCATAGCGACACTAACTTTCCCTTTCGGTCGTTCGAGTGGACGCGTTGTAACAGTAGATATAAAACATCTTGACAGTATAGGAGGGGTGGGTTCGCTACTGTTGCATTCCCTCCTCCTCCTGTTGTCTGTGGGATATGTGAGGCGATGTTATCGTGGATGGCCGTGTCCCGCTCAGCCGGTGGTTCCTCAGTTGTAGTGTTGTCTGGAGTCTGCTGCTGTTGTAGCATAGGGGCTGGTGGGGGTTTCAGGGCTGGAGGGGGGTTGGCTTCCATCTTCGGAGGAGGTTGGATCAGGCGATGGTACGTCTCGCGAGATAACAGGATCATGGGTTTCGTCATGTTCGGGTGCGAAATACCTGTCGAGCGCTCTCACACAAGGTGGTAATATAAAGTGAAAAGAAACCAGCAACTCCCTTTTAGCTCTGTATCCTTCTCGTTTGCTGGCTAGTAACCGAATGATCTTTCTGTACCGGTACAAGGTCTTTTTCTCGCGATCCGTCACGGTAATGTGTCCGATGATAATGTTATGTAACAGCGTGATGATGGCCTTAAACTGGTTTTTGGACAGATGAGACAGTAACGTTTTACGCTGTACAGGCTTAGTCCGACTCAGTACGTGGAGAAAATCCACGTTATCTCGAATACACTCGCTCATGGTGTGAAGCGAACCTTTTTGTACGTATAACCTACAGGCCCGCCGTATGAATCGGGTTGGTCCACTCCAATACGCCAAGCTTCTTTAAGAGATGTGATGCACGCTTCCTTCGATGAAAACCACGTAGGGCTCTCTTTTAAGGTGATCTCTTCGGTATGGTGCGGGGTAGCTCTTACGGACAAGGTAGAGGGTGGCGGGTTACACACGATGGTCCAAAAGTAGACCTTGCTCATAGCGCGGCTGCTGTAAGACTGACTCGACTAAAGCGTGTTTATCGCTTTTTATTTGGGAAAATAGAGGGTGCAAAGTTCGCCGGGTAAGATGCCGGTGCGTAAGCGTCCGTATTCCGGGTCACTGTACGGCGAGGCGTCCACGACTAAATAACCGTATTTCCTCCCTTCCACGGCATCCTTGTAAGATTCCGAAAAAAACTTGCTTTGACCTGGAAATATTTGCGAGGCCAAAATCTTGTATTCGTGAGCGGAACGGGGATTGCTCATCAAGACGAATATATGCGTATTCACGCTCACCGTCCGTGAACAGGGACCTTTAGGGTAGACGGACTGTAGCAGATTGATTACGGTAATACCCAGATGATGCGACAAGGTGGTGTATACGTTTAACATGAGTTTACTGGTACATATGTCCATCATGAGATCGTCGAACACGAGAATCATGTTTTTGCACGACTGATCGGACCACAAACGTAGTTGGCTTTCGCTGGGCAAAGATTCGTGAAACTGAATGTTAGCAATAGATTGCTGCACGTCGGCGTACAGATCCTGCCACACCCCGTAACAGTACACGATGAGGTCGGGTGGCTTATCAAACACTGTACTGGCATTCTCTAACAGGCGTTTCGTCCAATAGGTCTTGCCGCTACACGTGCCCCCGATTACGGACAAGGTGGTAGGTGTGATGAAAGGGAGCAAACATTTCTCGGACATATTTCACGGAGTGTTTGTTTGAACTGATACATTCTGTCACCGGTGCGGGCTTATTTATGCAGCCCTCGGTACGAGTGGCCGTTGTTGACGTCTAGCCAGTCTTTGGAGAGCTCTTTGGGCTTCGTCTCTGACCTGTCTGACGTGTTCGTACTCGAATATAAACTGAATCAAGGGAGTATGGTTTAACAGGGTTCGCTTAATGCTTCTATTCGTCGTGTCGGGACGAGCGATACGTCGCAACATTCTCAAATAATGGTTGTGGGGATGAGGCTGTAAGAAACGACGATTCTCACCGCGTGATACCGGGATGCGAGCATCGAGCAATCGCTTTACGATGGCTTTAGTACCCTTGATTTGCTCGCCGTTCATGCTGCGAATATCGCGCAAGGTTTCTTGGTAATCGTTCGACGAAAGAAGTTGTCTGAAAAACGTGTAATGTCGCAGGACGTATCTCGCCATGTCTGAATCGTACGGTGTCACACTCGACAATGACACGTACTCGTGAGACTTTGATCTTAAATAATCATGAAAACCGTATAACCCAACTTACATTGAACCATATACATACGTCCATGTCATATATAGAACTGAAACACAATAGACATTTTCTCTGTTTTTATTGACTCGTCTACCACTCTACAGGAGGAAAGATCGTGTTATATCGTAAAACACGTGAAACAGTACTTGAAATAGTCACAGATAAAGCGAGTCACATACGCGTCATTGCGTGTTTTGTCTGTACCAAACATCTGTACGATATCTCGTAAACTAGCACTATTTCTACATTTCTGTAACGCGTAATATAAACAATAGAATCCACAAGCACTCGAACTTGATTGCTGTAAAACAGACGTGTTATATCGATAACTGCGAGAATGTCTCTTGATAAAATATTCAAATTCACGATGATAGTAACTGGGTTTCTGTCCATAACTATCAAAAAACTCGCCGACTCCACACCCGTCAAAGTAAAAGGCAACCCAATGTTGACCCTCGCCACGTGCTAGGTCCGTGTTAGCCACACATCCCCATGGTTTTCCACTGGAAGGTACGGTGATGTTAGCTAATGTATCTCTCGCGTACACACCCACCACGTGTGTACGGAGGCTGGGGTCGCTACGGATGGCACACTGTAACTGTCGTTTGTACATTGTCTACTTTAGAAACACGTTACGGCTTTGGTCGATTTCGATGAGGGCCGGAAACTTGGCCAGGGCGATGACGTTGAAGGTATGGGCGAGGGCTTGAGCAAACTGGACTTCTAGTCGTAGATTACCCGACTTGACCAGATTCAGATATTCCCCTCTGTCGCCTTGTATGTCTTGCAGGTTAAACACGTACAAGGCATGACCTACGGAAAATTCCGTGCGGTCCAAGTTCAAACCTTTGTCTTTGCGCCATTCGTTATTCCAGTCGTAAAGACCGGCGTAAGCCTCGACGTCGTTCGACTCTAACGGTCGTCCGGGTACACTGGTACCGTTCAAGTACAGTCCCATGCTTTTAACGATGTCGCCTTGGAAACAGAAGGGATTGACCGTGTACGATCCGTTCACCCCATCGGACCTCACCAAGGCGACCACGAGTCGACTGGGGACTTCGTCCTGAAACATGGCGTCCCAGTTAAAACTCAGACTGGACGAGGCGACCGAGGCCATTTTGATCATGGATCGTTCGTACGGGTACAGGGCGTTGGCTTTTTCGAACTGTTTGTTGTGGGCCACGATGAGAGCGTCGTTGATCCTCAGTTTGCATACTTTCAGGTATACGTCTTGTAGTTCGACGGTGTAATGTTTATCGGTCTCGTCGGACATCAAGACAAAGGTCGTGTTGGAGCGAAACAGTTTGAGCCCCACGTCCACGCCGTTCACCAGATGACGGTCGAAACCGAACACGTCTTCCATGAGGGGTCCCGTTAGGGTGAGCGACTTGCTTCCGGCGATGAAGCTTCCTCGATTAATGAGACCGTCATTGCTACCGGCATAGGGATCAGCGGAGTTAAAATCACCCACGGTGACACCCGAATCTTTGTAATACAGCTGACTGGTCAGCTGACTGGTCTTGGTATCGGCGCCGTAGTCGAGGACGGTTTCCATGAGAGCTTTGTAAGGGTAACCGGCATTGCTGGAG